CTTTGCATTGGGCTTTACACTGAAGTCCTGGATACCATATTTACTTAATAAGACATTTATTGACCAAACTGACAACTAATTGCCACACAAGCAAAGATTGTTGATTACATACAATCCTTCACATGTACTACAGATGCATCCATCAGTGGACAAAAAATGTAGTGACCAATGTTATTTCTCAAAAATTCAAGAAGTAAAATACACTCCAACTCAATAATGAAATGAAGAAAAATATAAAACCAGTAACATTGAAAGATTCCAATCTATGTAAATTCTTTCAAGGGAATTTTAACACACCCAAATACCTTCTGGAGGATGGTCTTATATCGAAAACTAAGGAAAACAAACTTAGATTAACTATAACCCATGACCAACGATTAAAATTGAAACCTTTTCCATTCTACATGAAGCTGTCATTGGGGATCACTTTGGAATAAAGAAACTAAATCAAACTATCCCACATAATTGTTCTTGGTCTGACTTTTCATCAGAAGTAATGAAACTTCTCAATTGTTGTCTTGTTTGTGTTTGACATTCAAGCCTCTCACCAAAAACCTATTAGATTAATTCAACCTACCAAGTAGGCCATGGAACATTATTATCTTGGATTTCATTATTGGACTTCACAAGAAACATGTAATAATAATTCACTAATTACATTTGTAGACAAATTATCTAAGTCCATTGTTATAGAACCAGTGGCTGCATAAAAAGTGGTCATCTTTATTTGACATGAAATTGTTTGATGTGAGGGTATCCACTCAAATAATTATAAGTGATAGAGTTCCATGCTACATATGTAGCCTTTAGTTCCAACTCGTGATATTACTAGACAATCACCACGTAAAATCTGTACCTTTCCACCCCATGCCCTTATTGTTCTGGACAACCCAATGTGTGGAATTTATACATAGGTATAACAGAATCAGTATATATGTAATACATCTGTGCAAAAGTCTACTGGATATGCTCCTCTGGAATTAGCAAATAATGCTTATATACTGTACTCCATTTTTCAAGCCTGTCATATATCCTCATATTTCCACTGCATAAATCTTCTCCACAAGTAACTGACTTTATAGCCCAAAGATTCTCTGTATGAAAGTCTGTGAACCAAGCATTAAAGTGAGCCCAAGAACGCAAATCTAACACTAATAAAAAAATATATATACGAGATTTGCATTTTGGAAAAGGCCGTTAAATGTGTCTCCCGTTCGTTATAAGAATCTGGTGTTTTTACGAATGTAGCTCCACGTTGGCATAGACCTTATAAAATCTCAAAGTTATAACTCCAGTTCCTGTTTCCTATCAGCAAGGTACAACCTGCATCGCGACCTAGACACTAAGTGTCCAGGACCTATTGATCCAAACTGGTACATGGTTGATTATATCAATATTCACAATGAGAAGCGTGAATACTAACTGAAGTGGAAAGGTTTCCCTAAGAAAAGTAGTACATGTTCAATCGTTTGTTTTGAAAGACTAACCATTGTAAAATATATATTATCCGTCTCATGAATAAACATTGTATATTTATATTCATAATGGTCCCAGTATCTTACAGTGAAGATTTGACCACCTTAAAGATTAACTTTGCTTGGGTCAGAAAGATTAATTTGGTTTTATCCTAGTAAATGTGTTTTCCTGATAAATACTTAATGCTGATTTTTGACGAAAACTTGAACATTTTCAAATTCGAGTTTCTTCAGTCTGGAAGGTTAAGTAATGACGTATCAAAAAACACTCATTGTTAATTCACAATATAAAAGTTTAATCCTTGTTAATTATTGAAGAGAATTTTGACCACATTCAAATATGCCTTTTTTCTGTTAGTAACATTAACATGTATAGGGTATAGAAAAAATCCGTTATTTTGTACTTAAAAAAATTCTAAAAGATTTTGTTTTGTTTGAAATAATTCTATAATTTTGTAGAAATTTTATAAGTTAGTCGTATGTCTCGCACTTATATTGAAACGTTGAATTTGAAGTTAGGCCTACATTTACTTGCATAGTTTATGTTCTAAAGTTTATTTATAAAAGTGGCTGTAACCATTACTGAAGAAATAAAATAATTCAGTATCCTTATGTGCAAGTGTCCCCATAGAGGCATAAAAGTAAGGAACATTTGACCTTCTGATATTCCATATAAATCTTCTTCTACTTGAACCAGTTGAGTACTGTTTTCATAATAAACGTGGCCATTAGATCACATTTAGAGAGCAGTACGTCTAATGTGGAGAACAATTGGAAGACTCAAAGCAGGACGAAGTCTGAGACAGTTTGCCTCCTGGTTTGAAGTTTCATGTCGCATGATGAACCAGAGACTGAGACCATTTTTAGACAGGGGAGCTGTTTTTGTGAGATATAGTTATTGGCCGGGAGAGATAGGGGGTAAAAGCACCAGCTATTTCCAAACAGTTGTATTTGGCCTCTAGCGTTTAAATATTTGCACAGACCGTCAGTAATTGACTTTACAGGATCGAGTTCTATTCTCAAAAATCTATAGTTTGTATTCTGCTAAGTCAATTTTATCGTGCATAGAAGAAAAAACAGTGTCAAGAACACGCCAGTTGGGAAAACATCTAATATACATACTGTGGGTTTCATACCTCCCGATTTGATTAACATTAAAATTTCTCTATGTGTGTAGGTAGTATTAATATAGAATACCAGTTAAGTGAGTCACTAAGTTATTCTCGCACTAATTACTAATGTGACTAGGTTATTCAGCAAGAGTGCCATATGTACTTTCTTCGAGAAAACTTCTTGCGACATAGATCATACTGTGTAGAAGCAGACAATGACCTTTACCACTGGCAGGTAAAGTGATACGCCAAAGATATAACATTCATTATTTTGAAGTGATAGTGTTCATCAGTCATTGGGGTAGGTTTTTTGACCTAAGAAGAATGGCATTGTTATTTTAGTATGTAGATATTGCTACTGAATATATTACTATATTATATTTAGATCCCACACACTTATTTTTGTTTCACAGCTCTCCGGTGAAGACACCACACAATATATTTGGCTTGAACTTTGATTGTGTTTGTTGAAAGTGCAGATTGTTTCCCTGTATTATACATTTTATCTAGTCTTTCTTCCTTTCAAACTCAGTAGAAGTTTGTAAATTCACAATTTTGCTCTTGCATTGCATTTTCTTTCAAATATCCCATTATTCTATAGTTCCTATCCAATTACTGTGAAATGAAATCTGTGAACCTGAGAGTACCATAAACATGTGAGCCAAAGTTTTTTTCAAAGATAAATCAAGGTTCACTTTGAGTTAGGATCTGAACAACACGTAAGGAATGGTTTTTGGATTGCCGCAGTCAGGAAAGAAAAGCCTTTTGAAGTTGTGAAATTCTGGTCTAAACTGGCATCTCCATCAATAGTCACACAGAATTCTATATTTTGTAGCGTGATTCGATGGATCCTCTGGGAAATAGGAACAACATCCTTGAACATTATACAGCCCATTTGTTAGTGCTACTGGCAATTCTTTTATCCTAATGGATAAAGAGAAGTTTGTGGAATTTGAAGATTCCAATAGTAAGCAATTTCCCCAGACCTTAATCTGATCAAAGTGATTGGGATGTCCTGCAGAGACGTGTAGCGAACTGAAATCACCTACCTCTATTCCTTTTCCAGCTAGCAGTAGCTTTGCATGAAGAATGATCCTTAATTCCACAGGATTGATCAACTGCCTCATCTAGAACATGAATAATCATTGTAGAGCATACTTCTCAGCTCATGATGATCACATTCTCTATTTGAGGACTTTCTAGTGAACATTTTCATATTGCTGTATCATCATAAATCATCCTACACCTTATACCATTTTAACAACTTATGTCTCTGCCTCAAGCTTTTGTATTTTTGTATTGTTCATAATTCTTAATACCTGTAAAATGCGTATCTTCATTTGTAATACCTCCAGGTGTTTTAAAAGCATAGTATGCCTTAACTTTTTTTGATGTGTGTATTTAAGTAATTGCTATTTTTCATACAAAAGTTTTGGATGTGTTACTTGTGTTAACAAAAATCATGACATAATTAGGAAATTACTTCCAATTAATACTAAAATTATAAAAAATATAATATTTTGTTAAATAAAAGTCATTAGCTCATATGATGGAAAAGAAACTGTCATAATTTTTGTTTTACAGCAATTTTTATAATTTTTCTAACCCCCTAAATTTTTTAAAACTTTCTAGCTAGAGCTGTATAAAGAGAAATCAGTCAGTCTGGGAATTTTTAATGAAAGTAACACCTTGTTTCCCTGGCTGTATGAAGAGTTGTCCCGTCCTACTGGAATCGGTGTTCTCATACGAATATCTCCATTTCTTCATCGAGACTGTTTGTGTAATTCAGGAACGTAAAATTCCTCAATCATTTGACAATTGTTAACATGGTTAACAGTGACTGGTTTCTCTTTATGAGGATATGGAATGGCCATTATATTCGCCTGATTTGTCACCTCCAGATTTCTTTTTATGGGGTTATCTAAAAGGTACAATTTATGAACAATATGGTAGGTCGAATTCAAACTATTCTAGTCTTTAATTAAATGCATTAATTATTCGTCAATAACCAGATTTTGTACTTTTATTGAGCTGAAAAATCAAAAATACATACACACACACACACACACATATATATATGTATATAAAGAGAGAGAGAGAGAGAGAACCCAAGCTACTGCATTAAAGCCATTGGTGGAATGCATTGTCACCAAAATGCACTGGCTTTTCTATATATTAGGAGTTGTAATATAAGGAAGTACTTCTTTTCTATGTGGTTTTTCACTACCTTGCCTCATTAAAAAGATACATGCACATGGATAAGTAATAATAACAAGGTGCACACCCTCAGGGTCCACTTAGTATGTGTGCAAAATTTTAAGTTTCTAGGTTCTTTCCTCTTGGAGCTATGATGGTCACACACACACAGACATGCCCTTTTATTATTATTATAGATGTTGAATCAACTAATCTCTGTCATAAAATAAATTTTATTTTCAGGAACATCTTCAAACTCCAATACATCAAATTAGGGAGTTATGTACAATTTTCAAAAAACACTGGCAACATTTTACTAATTCTTCAGTATAGTCAAAAAGCACTGCCACATATGGTAGTTGGAACTGAATGTCTGATTCAGCTATTTAGTGCATTTCCATTTTATTGCATTACAACCCCCTTTTCAAGAACTTGTCTGTGTATTACAATAATATTTTCAAGTACTTTAGTATATTAAGAAATTTCACTGTATTTTCTTCAAACTAAAATATTCTATATTGTGATCTGTTACAATGAATCTAACATTGTTACAATAAACTTCCACATTCTTGACTAGAATACTTCTATAAACTACTTATAAACTTTAGCATACCAAATAAAAAGAAATTTGTTCTAATTTTTTTCCATTCATAAACATAATATTTACAAACAACATATCTGCATCAATTGATTAAAAACAAATTAAAAGAATGTTTTCCTGCCTGAAGTTCATTAAAGGTTTCTAAATTGTGATTAACTGTTCTTCTGGGAATTCATGAATAATGTATTATAAAATTAAATACTTTGAATGTCACAAATACTCATGCTCAAACATTATCTAGACCCAGGATCATAATAATATGAAATCTCTAATACAAAATAATAATAAGAATTAACATGCAATAAAACATGTTTCATTACATATTTTACATTTAAGAGAACATATGTCTCAGTGTCTTACAATAATTGACAGCAGTTTAATATCATAATTTACATGTATTAGAACAGTAATGATGATAATACTTTTAGTGTGTATCTGAACAATTTACTCAGTTTTTATCCACATTTGAAAAGGCTTAGAAGATCACAAAAATCACTCATACTTTAATATACCTGAGTACTTTCTCACTTGACTTCTGATGAAGGAAGTCTACCACTTGCTAGTGTTTCTCTAAAGTTTCATTTAAAAATAATTAGAAATGTTTGAAAAATGAAAAAATTGAAAATCTGTTATTAACATTAACATCTTTAAAAATATTAAAGGTGCAAATTCTAAACATCAAGGTAAAAACCATTCTGACCTATTTATTGCCCAAAAAACAACAATAAAAGAATACATTATACATATCACTTGGTATATTTTTGTTTTGATTTAATGTAACACAAAGCACATACTTCTTCTAATAAAGGAAACATAGTTTGATATAATTTAAAAGTGACTACAAAACTTTGGAATGTTTAGTTTCAAAACTATAGTTAATAATAAAAATAATATTTCTGACAAGTTAATGTTTTTATGATTCCTTGTCCTAAAAGATCCAGTCCCTGAAAGTATATGAGCACTTAATATCTAATTCAATTTTCACAGCATTATGTAAGGACACAAATCTTTAAATCCTCAAACCTGAGCAGATGCTTCCAGCATCTAGCCTAAAAACCCTGATTTACCCATTAGATGGTGACAGCATCCGATAAACTTTATGTCTCTTTGGCTGAAAACTAATCCAGTTCATGTTATTATACACAAAATTAAGAAAATTGATGATTTATAAGGTATGGTGATAATTATTAGAAAATTAATGCAACAGAACATGCAAACAATTATGGATTTAAAAGAGTTAAAACAAAGCTTTTCTTGTTAAAAAGCCAGTCAAACTAATACTGTGCACATATGGAATAAAGTTTTCATTTCTAAGTATATATATTTACACACACATGCAAGCACACTTTATTGGTTACAAATTTAACCCTAGTTTACCATTAGCACATCAATAAATGTGAGTTACATGAAAACTTCCATGATTTATAACTGCTAAGCCCATATGAGGGATAAAAGTTTGTCTTTCAACTGTAGTTTATAAAACAAGTAAACAACAAATCAAAAAACATCAAGCAAAAAAACAAAAGAAGTTAATTTAAAGACCAAAAGAAAAATCAAATTATTAATAAAAACCTTGTTCAAGAACTTTGTCATTATGAAATGAGATGTAACATTTTGCATATCCTCTATAAGATGCATTTACAATTTTTTCTCTGAGTTGTTTCAAAACAATGCAGAACAAAAAAACTTTCCCTTTTAACGCCAACGTTTTTTTAAACCAAAACACTGAATGTACAAGAACCTCTGAAAGATATATGGATGTATTGATAATATAATAATGATATGAGGTTTTGAAACAGTAAAAGAAAGCTGCAAAAATATATGATTTTTTTACTTCTTAAAACTGTTTGTCAGTGAAAAGTTCTTTAACTAAAACTATTAAGAAAGAAAATAACCAAATAAAATTTAAACAGTTGATGGCTTGAGACATTCAAAAACAAACTATTTTCTTAGTGTTGTGCAACCTTAATATAAACTCACAAAAAATCAACAAAATCTGCAACCAGGTTTAAACAATTTTTTTAAATATAATTTTTGCTATACATACCTAAAATGTTTGCTGCCAAAGAAAATATTTTGTTATAAAAACTATCATCATGAAAATGTGGTTATCAACTAACAACGTTAATACACTGTAATGCGTTACCTCTGTGCATCGCAAAACATGGACAAGAATTTTCAACCTTTTACATATTTTATACACAAGAATGAATTTCATGGTGTAATACAATTTAGATCAATCAATGAAATACAAGGTATATCACTCATTACAAACAGTTTGTAAATGATTACACAGTTACTATATATCTATTAAACCAAACAAATGGAAGCACTTGCTAAATCCTTACAAAAACAGATCTTCAGCATGTCAGGTTAAAGTTTATTAGTAAATTAGTGGAGTGGAAAAAATGTGATCAAACTTCAGAAGTAAATACTCAAGTACTCTGTTCTGCTGCATTACATCTAATGCCATGTTGTTTGACTCAGAATTCATTAGACTTGGTCCAAACACAATTGCTAGATTCTGGATGTCCATTAAATTTTTCTGTTGGTGCTTTTCGACTCTGCAGAATAGAAAAGAAACAAATTCAATTATAAGAATCAGTAGCATTATAAGGATCAGATGAAATGGGTTCCCACCAAAAACAAAAAGTTGTGAAGGACACAAGATCAGGGATTGATGCACCTGTCACAGTAAACTTAAAATAATAATTATAAAAATGATCTTCAGTCCTTGATAGGACAGGAATAACTATCAGATCTATCTCTTATGTCCACTGAATGTCAGGTGGTGAGTACTATTAACTGCAACAAAGTATATGATAAAAGTTCAATTCTGAAAATCAGAAGGATTCTGCTCTAATAAATGAAAATCAATCGAATACAGAAACCACACCTAAAACTATGCAGGTCTAATGTCTGTGATAATTACTTGGATTAATTATTAACTGCTATTTTTTAGTGCCATAGCCTGTATTTTTTCAATTTACCACAGTGCAAACTGAAAAAAGTTTCACCAATTTGAATAACTAACTATTCACTGTTCTTAACAATTCTATGATTTTCTCTCTATAATCAAGATGCAAAGCTGTTCACTGATGTTCCTAATTTTGTTATTTTTGTCTTAGTTGTGTATTTGTAATGCTACTCACATTTGTAAAGTAAAACACGTCAGTCAATAATTTGTTACTTGTGACTAATATACATTTTTCATAAGTAAAATCTATACACTGACAGGTCATTTTATTAGGAGCCTAAATGTAATGTTAGGTTGGGACACTTCTTGCCATGATAACTGTGCAACTTAGATTTCAAAGTATCAGAAGATTATAAACCACTCGTCAAGGAGTAAATTTTGTAGCAGAGAATTACAGTGGGAAATAAGATGTTCTCATATTCATTTCATAGATACTCCACTGAATAAAGACACGATACTGGTGTTAGTCAAGAGAAATAGCTTAAGTCACTGTTATGTTTATTAAACCAACTTCACATGATACAAGCTCAGTATGTTGCACTTTGGTTTTGGTAGAGTATTCATCAATCAGAATAGAAATGCAGCATTGTGAGGTGTAGGCAATTGTTAATAATGTTTGGGTAGACTTTGAATGATATTATTCAACCTTACAAAGTAATGAAAAGTTCAAAACCTTATGATGACAACATTCCCTCTGGCAACTTGCACTATCAGAAAAATAAAAGCAGGGTGAAGGGCATCAAGCGATTTTTTTTCTTTATTTGTACTGCTGTACAATATTTTATGCATGCAAATATAAGTGTTTCAAGATCTCTACCTAGCAAGCATCTCAACAATTTACCAAAATACTCATCCTTCCTACAAAGACCCTTACTAATCCTATTTCTACCCCTCATGCAAGAAGAAAACTGTGAAAAGGAGCACATACCCATGGAAAAGTTGGCTTATGATATATGCCAGTTTTATTTACCAATATATCCAAGAAAGGTAAACCACAATTTTGCTCGTGCTTTAGTATGAACTTTATATTTGGCTGCTTACTTTTTTGAATGGCACAGTAATTCATTAACACGGCTTTATGATTAAAAAACTATGAATGTATCGTTAATATATAGTCTATTGTAAGGTAATTTAAAGCCAATGTAACATTTTTCCAACTATTGTTTTTTTTTAAGATAACTTCAGAACAAATTAGCCGTAACAGGCACAACCTACGATTCCATTAAATATGATGTGCAATTCTTTAACTGCAAATCACAAAAACATCTAGGGTGGAAGAAAAGGAACTTCAGAATCTTTCATCCCTAAATTCCCAACCTTAATCTGACTTCTCCAGAACATTTGGGCATCAAGTGATAGTAAGTTCTTTACATACATATTAAGATATTAATTATTCACTAATATATAAGACTAAACAGGTTTTCAATCCATGATACTGAAAGTCTATAAAGCAATATTATGGCATTTTTTCAATTAAAAAAAATGGAATTTGAAAGTCAGCAATGAAATTTTATTTTGACATATTAAATTTGTATTCATAAACAACATGTGAACACATAATATCAAACTAGTTGGACCTAGATTCTATGTACAATATGGACTGATATTGTTTAAGTGAAGAAATCTTAAAATTCTGTCATTCTTTCACTTTTCTAGCAGTTCTTTCTTTTACCTTGCATTCTTTCTAATTATACTTTATTTTAAGACAAAGGTGATTTCCAGTGTTTTCCAACTTCTCAGAGAACAGATCTGTTAATTTTGTTAAGGATTCTATGTCCTGAGTAGTTTTTAACTTCTTTCTTTTTGTTATTTCTTCTACAACATATATTTCGTTTTCACTTTTTTTTTTATCACTTTGTTTCTGAAGGTAAAGTTCAAATTTTTATCATGACATTGATACTGACACAAGCAATAGATTTGTAATGTCATCACTGAGATCTCATCCCACTGATGTAAAATGATCACACACCATTCCAACTGCCAATAAAGACTACTGAGATAAAAACTCCTACTGGTTTCTAGCCATGTGATAATACAAGCAGCATCTTTACTATTTCATACAGTTCTGATAACTTTTCATCAATCTTCGTGTAGGTTGATAGAAGCTCATCAAGCATATTACATTGTTGTTTTTAAAGATGACATACTTGTCTCATACAAATGTTCGGATGTTTTCCACAAAGTTGTTGCATTCATTAGAAATGGCATCACACTATTTTTTTTTCCATAGCTGTAATGATAATTAAGATTAATATTAGCCTCCAACACATCGTTTTTGGCAATAAAATCACATATACGTGCTGGTGTTACCAGTATACTTGTTACATTTACCTGTGAAGGATTTTAACGTCTCCTCTTTCATTTCAGTGGGTTATATCTCCAGTACTGGATTCTGATTGTCAAAATCTGTTTTTCATTCAAAAAATAAATGCAAACTCAAACATATGTGACTTCAAAGTATATTCTACTATTGTCCCCAAGTCCATACAAACTGCTTTATATTAGTCAACTTTGAACTCCTTGGCTCATTTATTTTTAAACTTTTATGACCACAAGCACTTGAAGATGGACTTGCCTATACTTTCAATAGATATTGCACTACACTATATACACAGTAGACAGATGTCAGGTATTGTTAAGCAGTTACTATAATGCTGCACAGAACATTCAGTGATTACTTTCAAGATCTGTGGTAAAAACAGTTATGTCATGTTTAATGAAGGAAAAACAAACAAACCTGTTTTCAGTCAGACAGAGTTGAAAACTTCAGACCAACTAAAGTGAAATTCAAGTACTTTTCAAGAACCTGTGTTAAACCCAATCATGTTTCAGCACCATTTTCATAATCAGGCAATAAAAAACCCTAAATTTAATTATTGTACAAGAGCATGCAAAGCTTGTACACAGAGATATGCCATTATCTCTCAGCTTATATATGGGTGAGAAACAGAAAAATAGAAAGGTACTATCCCTCTTTTAAATGAAGATTATAGAAAGTTTATTAAACTCAACTACTATTTAAATAGTGCAAATATGTATGCAGCAAGGTGAAGTGAAATAAAAAACTGAGCTACAAAGCTTACAATAAAATTTCCTTTAGGAATATAAAGCTATATAGATATAAAAGACATTGAAAATCCCATTAATTTGCCCTTTAGTCATTCTCATGAGCAATAATAATTACACAGATAAGTCCTGCCCATTTGTTACAATTCAATCAAAGTAATAGTGATTTGAAAGTGCATTAAAAGACTTGTTTACATGAAATCATCCTATTATGTGACTATAAGAGCATGTAAGAAATTCTAACATGTAAAAAGGGCTAAATATAGTGTAAGTCATTACAATTGATGCAACATAAGTCTAGTTATGTATATGCAAAAATCTGGAAAATATATCTTTTTACAAATGGCATGATGATACTGCAAGTCTTTCCACAGGATTTATGGTAGTTGTAGGTTACAGTTATAATGGCAAGTTAAACACACAGTAAGTAGAGATAAATACCTTCTTATTTATACACTATCAGGTTAACATGCTGATACCACTTATCTATGACTAAGTGCATCTTTTTACAGATGGGATGTCAACAGAAGTGTGGCTCCACCATGACAAGGCAACCAGCCACATATCTAAATCAAGATATCAGTTTGTCTGCAAGATGCAAATTGGACTATATGCTATAGCATTTTACAGGCATTTTCCATGGACTTCTGTGCCTTTGGGTTGCTCAAACAGACCCTTGGAAGTCATTGTTCACAGATATAAGCAGGATCTTGGAAAGCATGTAAAGAAGAGAACAACACCGACTTCAGTGTACTGTACAAAATCCTCCATCCAACAGTGGAAACCAAGATCACCATATAAAACACCATATGTTCTAAGACACAGGATATCATCCTTATTTTAGTACCACAGAAAATGATGTGAATTTTCCTCTGTATATAACAAATTACACCTAGTAAAATACACAAAAAATATGTTAGAAGTACCTTACTTTTAGAGCTGTTAACTTACTGCAAATGATAAACTAGTCAGTCTGCTTCAAAAATGTATTATTATTAATCAAATTTTATCTAATTGTTAAGGAAAGAATAATTCAAAAGAAACTTTTTAAAATAACTTGAATCTAGGACAGGTAACAAACAGCCCAGTGAACTAAAGATTAGAAGTAAGACAATGCTAAAATTATAAATAAAATGAAAAAACGAATCCTTGCTATGCCTTTACAAGGCCATTGCATTTTAACTCTAGTTCCAGTGGCACAGATGGATGTGAATGGTGACCTTTTCCCCCTGGACCAGAAGCCAGTCCATTGCAGGTTAACCTCCAGCTAACAGTTAGGTATCCATCATACAGGGTAAACTGGTACACATAAAATGTCTTCCTCAAGGACATCACAGCATGATGAGGGCCAGCCTTGAATTTGTAACCATTCAACGACAAAGTCAAAGCATGAAGCCACTGAGCCACACTGCCCACATTAAATTTATAAATTCACAAGTTTTATTTTTTTTGAAAATATCTCTTTTTAACTATCACGGAAAATAAATATATTTTACCTGAGTAGATGATCAAGCAAAAATTTCAAAGTTTCATAGTTAGGTTTTGGCAAAGATTGAACTACTTCAGTGACAGTTGCTAACTTCTTTTCCTTAGTTTGCTTTCCTTTAAAAAAGAAAATAATTAATAAATTTTGTATTGATCTTAAGTAAATACTTCATATTTCTCATTAACAAAAATATCAGTAAAAAAAAAAGACTACTTAATACTTTCAGTTATTAATTTCTTAGTTTAATAATTTTTTCCATTCCTTGTGCAACAAATTATATTTGTTTGTTTTTTACAAAGTATATGACAGTCTAGAATTTTGGTTTTAAGACAAAAAAAAAGTCCTAGTTTCAAAAATTATTTCAATGAATATCATTCTTACTTATTACACAAAACTACTACTTTTGACTTTATTAATACCAGAGCCATATAAATTATTTTTAAACAAAATATGAATAGTTCTAATAGTAGGTTATTTAAGGAAAAACAACAAATTTTTATACATGTACCCACACACGCACACACATATATATATATATATATATATATATATATATAAAACAATGTAGTCCAATTATAGAAACCAGAAATGGTAAGAACTACATTATTTATAGGCCTACAAATAAAACTTGTGTACTACTGCTCAGTAATGCATGGGAACTTTGTGATGTTAATAAAGCTTCAAAAATGCCCCAAGAAAAAACAATGAAGTGTGAAGCCAGAACTCAATTTCTGGAAGTAGATAAAATAGTAACAAGTCACAGATTAATGAGTTGTAGATAATATTTATGGTATCTTAGTTGATACATTCTTTACATTATTGGAATATTTTATCATACTGATTGAATTTGTTTAACCCATCTTATTTCAAGTTAATGAAGACTGTATGGGATATGTAGGAGTAGTAATTTGATAAAAATATTTTGATCTGTCCTGTCTCAAAGTGATCTGAAATTCATTATCACCCACATTCTGAGAACAGGTTTTTAAATCATGCAATAAATTATACTAGAGGTCTACTATATCTATTCCTACATCAGGCCCATCGACAGGAGGGGGCAACTGCCCAGAGGCTCTGGCGAATGAAACCTGTTTATGCTGTAAAGCCCGCAAAGCATCTTTAGGCTATATCTTCATTTAATGATAAAAACCATAGTTTTTGGCTTTTCTTTGCATTTAGACACTTGATACATTAACAACAACTGAAATAATAATTTGAGTAATAATTAATATGTATTTGTTACATTATGGATTTAATAGATATTTGTTTTTATGCTTATACTGTGATATAAAAACGGTTGCAGCTATGATTTTGTCTGGTTTATGAGCTCGTTGCTGTTCTAATTTAGGACCTTCTTTTTAATAAGTTCTTGAAAATGTTAAAAAAGAGAGAGGGGGGGGGGCATGCTGGCTCTCGACATTCCTGTCCCACATTATTTTTAGTCATTCTTCTGCTGGTCTTTTTGTGGTTCAGCTTTTTAGTTACTCAACATCACTATACCTGTAGATGTTAAGCCTACTTACTTTCACCAGTGTTCGCACTTATTTTGACTTGTATATTCCTTGAAAGTGATATAGTTGAATAAATTTATTATTAGAACATTTATTCACAAAGAATTATCTTATCAACTTTAAATACCAAGTATTATTACATCACTACTCTTGGAACTTACAAAAAGCACATGGTTATATTTTTAACCAATAAGCTTAGCTAAGAATAAACTGACATATCATTACTCGCTACATGATCATAATTATACTGCATAAGTGTGTACTATTTTAGGAAGTCAGTTTTAAGTTAAAGAAAAAAAAAAAAACACGAGTAGTGTATCATCTAAGTGTTTTAATATTTTAAAATACTAATAAATAATTATGACAAAATAAACTTGTACATTATTAGAATGCTCTCATTATGCTTTTTAAAATTTACTGATGACATTTACAAGTAGTATTTTTATTTAATTAAAACATTTTGATCTGCTAGACAGAAAACACAATGTAGGCTAGGCCACCACTGCTGTTTACTACATTAGTAATTTTACCTATAAAACAAATGCAAAATTTCATTTATCAAATTACAAACATACCAATCATAAAATGTTCTAAATATTTAAAGACTGTTTAGTTAAATTGATAAATAGAATGAGAGTCAGCTATGCCTGAAATAACACAAGCTAGTGATTGGCTCATCTAACAGCAAACTAGCTATACTCTCACTACAATGAGACATGGAAAACTGACTGAAACTTGATACGCCATCAGACTATGAAAAACATTTTTATTATCTGTGGTTTTGTTTAGTAAAACTCATGATATGGCTTTTCCAACATCATTCAAGCAACATTAGATGAATTTTACAACAGTGAGCAGTACCAGAGCTTGTAAATAAGCAGCAGATATTTTCAAGTGCATGTGCATGTAGACCCAATATACTGAAGATATATTTAAGTTCACATAAACTGTACATGTTCAGGTAAAAAATATTAAATGGCCAACATGTTTACCAATTCACCAGAACTTTGTCTGTCTAATAACACAAAGTCATTAACAAACTCACCAAGACCTTCTAATAATCGACTAAAAGTAGATACTGGTATTAAAGGCTCTTTCATTTCTCTGAAAAAAAGTTTTAGAGCCCCAGTCAGTATATGAATATCTTCCGTTGTCTGTAGGATGGAATAATCATCTGAAACATAGATTAAAGTATATGCAATGGATTTTAGTTGCATCTTATATCTTAAAAGTTTAACACACATCTTCATACATAATATTTATGTTTTAGTTGTAACACTGCACAGAGGAACAGAGAAAACTAATCAATTCATAAGTACTATGCATAAACCCTAAATACTTAGATTCTACTACCTGACATGCCTGTTGAATGCAGAGAGAAGATGGGTGTGAGGGAGTTAGTAAAAACTGGTCTAGTTGTTCACCAGTCACAAGCACACACACACACAGTTTTTGTCAAAAATGGCTTATAGATACATATGTTCACCAAAGCATACAGATCAAAAACTATAAAATGATAATGTACTAAATTAAGACCTTCACTTCTTTAAACATTTACCATTTTACCACCTTCAGAATATTTTTACAGCAATACAAATTTATTAATAGATGAAAACTAAATTTTTTATCATCTTGAGCACTTATACATAGCAATATAAATTTCTGATGTAAAGTATATCAAAATGATAAATTGCAAACTCAAATATGTTTAAAAGAAATTAAATATGTTACCACTAACTACATATTGTTGTCAGTACATTTAAGAAAACTCTTCAAGTATTTGTAAAAAACTACCTTGATCAACATGTAGCCTGAGCTTCTGAATTTGTGCCAAATTACCACTTATTCTATATATTCCATCAGTGGTGAGATCTGAAAAGACATAATAATGGTTTTGTTTAATAAATGCAGAAAACCAGCTTTGTTGAATAAACAATGAACTTGTACATAAATGAGGCATACATAAAGATTTGCACTTCTATGGCATCTAACATCTTAAAACAAAATATTTTATCTCTCGCATGCACTGACATCTTCTAAAAGAATTTTAGTTCTTTTGACAGTTTGAAAGTTATGTTTAATTCTATTGAGTATTACTTCTAGCAATATGTTTGAGTTGTGACTGATCAAGCTAAAAGATCTGTACTGGTCACACCCATGGATTTAGGATTCTTGAAGATCAGCACAAAAGCAAACTTTTAGCTGTTGGTATTATCCCTCTTCTATACATTTAAGTGAAAAATTTTAGTGAGTTAATTAACTC